ATACAGTGTTATTGATCTATAGTTATCTCACACACACACACACACACACACACACACACACACACACACACACACACACACACACACACACACACACACACACACACACGGCCACTTTTAAGGTCACCAGGATGAGGAGGCTTTGCTGGTGCATGACTCATAATGCAATCCAGTACGTAACAGAAATCACATTGCATTCAATGGGATGTAACCTTGGGCAACTGTGTATAGGATTAAGATTACAGAGTACAGTTTAGCTTGCAAAGGAGGCTTAGTCTCACTAACTAAGAAGAAGTGTGAATCATAGGAACAGAGGTCCCTGAGTGCCAGAACAAAAGGAAAGCAGGCCCTGTATCTCTTGAACCGGAAAGTAAATCAGTTGCAGCTTTCATGCCCCTGCGCAATGATCCACTTGCATTCATTCTGCCAGAGAACAGTTAAAAACACAAGAGGCCTGCATGCCTTTGCAACTGGTCAGCAAGATGGTATTTAGCTTTTGCTTCTGAGACAGTATCCTTTATTAGCAACAACTAAGAGGTCAGCTTTGTTTGCATTCCTGTGACCTCCTATCCTCTTCTAGTCCCACACGAGAAACCCTCCGTGGTACCCAGGGTACTTTCACACACACAAGGGCACTTGATTGGGCTCTAGAGTAGGATGCAAAACAAAATCTGCAGCCGGATGGAACTTTTTTTTTTTAAGCAGTGTGTATTCACCCTTATTAAATTAAATAATGCAAATAGCAATCTCTAATAGGCTATTAAACTTGCCTTGCCTTGTCAAGATGTAAAATGGCTGCTAATCATGGGATTTTGTCAAGGGAATTTATTTGGCCAATCTGAACACAGCTTTTGAGCTGTCATTGTGCTCCGTCCATGCTTGTGCGGAAGAAAACAGCTAAGGTGCATAACAGCGGGAGTCTTTTGAATTGGGAGCAGATGATGGAAAATCCAAACTGAATCCTCAAGGAACTAGCTTCCTGCTCCTAGTATAGGAAATATGTACAGATTTTTCTGGCATTTCACTTGGATTGGAGGGGATTCACACTTCTTGGTTGAAAATGAATGTGCTTTCTTTCCCCCCCCTCCCCCACGGAACTCCCTAAACCAGCCACATTAACTGTGTAAAGCTTTCGGCTGGGGTACTATGATGGCAACCAGCCATGTGACATACTGTGCACATGGATTAGCAAATCCCT